ATTTTCATAATATCAGAGACTGAGTATTATTAAAAAGTGTTACTTTCATGCAATGCATATGCACTTACTGCAGCAATTCATTCTCTGCACATGTGACTGAGAGTTGTAACTTTTTCACATCACACAGCTCTCTCTGAGATGCTACTGTCAGTTTGCAACTCATGCAGTCTTTCAGTCCAGCACACACTGTGTGTATACAGCTCTGTGTGCTGAGACTGTGTTGATCATTATGACCTGGCGTGATACTCACTTTTCACAAGCCATGTTTTGTTTGAGAGAGGGAGAAAAAGACATGACTGTTGTTTTATTAAGAGAGAAATGAATAATTAATATTATTGAATTAATTTAGTTCATCTGCATTTAAAATTTGATTAGTTTATACTCTTCAATTTAAGGATTTCTATGAGTGTTTTAATAGTTTTCATATCAGCTTGAACTTAGTGATGAGTTGAAGAAGAAGAGAAAAGAGAGAAGAAAGAAATAAGAATAACTTATCTTTATAATATGAAAACAGAGAATCACTGCAATTATTCTTCATAGTAATAAAGATCTGTTTTCTGCATGTATCTCTGATATAGATTATATGATAAATGTATACAAAGAATATCAATAGTGTATGTATTGAATAAAGATAATGTTGCTATACAACACTGTAGCTGTTTCTGTACATCTCTGAAAGCTGTTAATAGTTTCTTTATCTCTTTATATTTAATAAGTTAATAATATATTCTGATGCACTCTCTCTTTCATCATCATTATCATCATCATTATTATCATTATCATCATTATCATCATTATCATCATTATTATTATTATCATTATTATTATCATTATCATCATATCATTGCCTGTCTTCATCTCTCTCTCAATACTTATCAAAATCAATCATGTCATCTCTCTTCAAATATTCTGCAGTTCTGCGGACTATCAAGGCGCGTGAGCACTGTCACAGATTGAAGAGAGAGAAGAAGAAGGTATTCAAGCACAGAGAGACAGATTGTAAGACATATTATAATGCCTTGAAGAGGCTCTGTAAGAGAGTAGAATAATAATGATTTTAAGTAACACTTCTGATAGATTTAGACTGAACTAAGTATAGAAATAATACAGATAACACTGTCTGTGAGAGATTGAAAAAGAAGATAGTGAAGAGTCTCATGCAGTAGCAGTAAGATCAGAAGAATTCCTGAGAATGATTTAAGATCAAGATGAAGAGAGAGAGAAAGAAGAAAAGTGTTACTGTAAATAAGCAGTAGCAGAAGAAGATTGAGAAGATATTAAAGTGAGAGATAAAGAAGTCAAAACTGATAAGTTTTTTATTAAGAGATAACAATTTTTGATAATACTTCTATTCTCTAATTGATTAGCAGAAGCTGACAGAGAAGAAGAGAATTAAGGCCTTGTTCAGATCTCAAATGCACTTCATGATTCAGAATATTGAGAAGACAGCTCTGCTCTCTGAGCATGTCAATCTGCTTATCACTGAGATGAAACCTGAGACAGCAGATCAGAAAATGCAGGATTTTGAGATACAGATTGACCTGACTGAGAGAGAGCAGTGAAAACCCTTCTCTGAGAAGGCAGTGAAGAGAGATTTTGAGATGATTATTACCTTAGATGAGAAGAAGAAGAAGAAGAAGAAGAAGAAGAAGAAGAAGAATAAGAAGTGAATTGTGAAAAATAATAAGAAGAATGAGAAAGAGAAGAAGTAGATTTTTTTCTTTTTATATTAGTTAGTTATAAGTTTAAGTTTTTAATTATTAATAATTAAAATTGATTTTAAGTTTTCAAAAATTATTGTACAAGTTGTAATTAAGTCAGAAATGATATATATATATATATATATTTAACTATCATGATTCACAAATCACTATAATGTATAAGTATCAACATTTTTTCAACATTAATATTCATAATATTAATATATTTTTAATGATATCATTTAATAACACAATTTGATAATACTCTCTTTCACAATATTAATATATTTCAAGAAATATAACAGAGATTAATCAAGATTGTTTATTTACTTTTATATATCAATGATATTCAATCTGAGTTAGTACTAAAATTATAACTAAGCTAAGAAACAAGATTATTTTCTCTTATATTAATTCTTCTTACACACATCAGTGATCAGTTATTGAAAATAAATTATTATCTTTCTTAAATTATTATCATATCTTCTGAATTCACTTCTTTCACTTCTTTTACTTCTATTGAAGATCTACAAACTCTTTAAGAAATCACTGTGAATTACAAAGTCTATATTATTTACAATTCAACACAGAATACTCTCTTTCAATTATAATAAATAATCACTTCATTCTTCACATCTGATTTCAGGTCATGAAATTTATGAAAAACTCAACACAAACATTGAGATAAACTATGAAATAATTATTAACAGATTGCATTGTAGATTACTGAAGAGTCATCTCTTTACTGCAATTACTGTAACTTCATTCAGAAATATTCATCTGATTTCATAACTCTCATCTGATAACTTCTGTGAATAATTACTTTATATATATATATCTCTGAATCTTTCTCTTTAATCAATTGAAAATCTTGAATTCTGAACACTTCTTCAAATGCTTAATTTAAATCTTCATATTTTACATTAATTCTGTCTTCAGTTCAACCTTGAGATATACTACAAAGTTAATATATAATATCTAGAATCAGAGTTGAAGAATCATTGAAAAGTGTCTCTCACAGTGAATGCATGAACTAGTATAAACAATCTTGTATTTATAAGAGTTACATGTTATTACATTGATAAGAACTGAACTTATTAAGAGATATTAATTGAATTTAAATCATTGATCAGTAGTCATACTGAGAATTATATAACAGAGATATTAATGACTGTGATTAAAAATAACTATTGAGATATTAGTTTCAGTCTTCTTACAATTATAACTAATAATACTGTGAATAACTATACTATAATAAAGAGCTTGAAGTAAAAATTGACTTTGTATTTCTGAAATAATAAACAAGATTATATTCTCTGTATTACTTATGTGATTCAACTTGTGATATAAACACTGATAAAGAATCTTAATATCAAGATAAAGAATAATGAGATAACTGATTCTTAAAATAAGAATAAGATGAAAGTAATTACTTAAGTAACTTTTACATTTATTTTATAAAAGATAATATTTTTTAATAACACTTTTTAATATTACTTTTTAATAATGCTTTTTAATAATACTACTGTTAATTTTGAATAGATTAGCTAATAATTTAAATATTATAGATTTAAAATATTGTTAATATAATTTATATCTCTTCTAAATAATAATAACAATTTTATAATATTTAATAAATAAATAAATTAGTTATATCACTGAATATAATACAGAATATTAGAATATAATAAAGTTTAATATATAAGATAACTATTTAAGTTCTTTGATTATATCAGATAATTAATCATTGAATGTAATACTCTGATTAAGAAAAGATTCAGATATTAAAACTTTCTGATATAAAGTGAACTCAGTTAAAATATATAATTAATTTACTGTTTCAGTTTTATAAGATAATAAAAACAGTCTCAATTACTTATATATTAATACTGCAGTCAGTCTAATAAGTGTATAACAGTTTATTTACTTATCTTAAGAAGTAGTTAAATCACTTAAAAAGAAATTCAGTCTGAGATAATATTATAGTACAGACTATTATTACTATAAGAAATAAACTGATATATTACTACAGTAAAATAAAACAATCTTTTACAGAGTACTATACTATAGCAGCTCTACTAGATCTCTTCTATCAAGTTAATATCTATACTTCTCAAAATTGAATAGAGATGAAATGAGACTTATATATTAAATTAGTCTGAGACTACTATAATATCAACTATCAGAGATTTGAATAAGTAGATATTTAAAATATAAAGACAGTGAAATATAATTCTCTAGTAAGTAATAATCTTTGATAACACTTTATATTACATAGAACTATAATACTTACTTTAAAATAGAACTTATATACATTGATTATAACTGAAAATCAGACAAAACTATATACTTATAAAACTGAATTTAACTACTATTTTTAAGATAATCTGATAAATTTATACATTAAATTAATTCTAGAGTTATAAAAAATTATTAAGAGTATATATTTAACTATTACACTGATAATATATAATATTCTGATAATTTCATTAACAGAGATGAGAATAAAGTGAAAGTTTAACTCAAGTTAAGATATTTATCACTATTACTGATAATAATTATAAGAAGAAATAATTAAGAAACTCATGATTATAAAATATAGAATTATCAGACAGTTTAATATCTCTGATCACAGTATATCAGAGAAGTATAGTTTTTATAAGAAAGTGAAGAATAAACTTATATAAAAATATATTTAGTTATTTCATAAGTGTTATTAATAATTATTATTAAATTTTAATTATATAAGTAATCACTGAATAAACTAAATAAAACTGATTTTAATCTTCAATCTCAGTCTTATTCTGATTTTGAAAGAATGATTATCTTTCACAGTTTATTCTGAAAAATTACTCTTATTTCACTATTCTTGAATTAAATCTAGTCATTTTTCACATCATTTCTCTCAGAAATGGTTCATTTTCAGATTTTTTTGAGGCTTGATCCTGGTGGGACTCACACCAAGAAATGTATGAGACCAGACCAAATGAGACCAAATGTGAAATTCATGGTCCCGCCGGCCAGTCTAGTCACTTTATCTGTTTTTTTGATAGCCAGTCCCAGCGGGATTCACGCCAAGAAATGTATGGAACCAGACCAAATGGGACCAAATGTGAAATTCATGGTTCTGGCGGCCAGTCTAGATCACATTACTGCGCACATCACTGAAAGAAGCCTCCTCGTGGGTCTTCCAGGTCATCAACGCGCGGTTAGTTAAAATATGAAACCATTATTACAACTCGAGTGAGGACAGTGGCCGGGACAGGCAAAAAATACAAAGTAAAATAGAAACGGAGGTTCTACCCCCGGCGGGACTCGAACCCGCAACCTTCAGATTCACTTATTCCCAACCTGGGAAGTTAGAAGTCTGACGCCCTACCATTGGGCTACGAGGGCTGGCAATTGGGTTTTTAAACCTCGGAAAAACTTATTAAGCCGAGCTACGCTCGATCGAGCCGCCGCCAAGACTATCAGTCAGAATAATATAACTCCCGCTGCGTAAATTTCTATAGACAGGTTACGGATCTGTGTAGTTAGAAATGTTGAGACTGGTAGATTTAAAAGAAATAAAAATATATGGTCTGATCTGGCTTGTGTTCAGGAAAAAAATAAGAAGAAAATTGCTACGCTCCCGCATATAGATCGAACTTCCACAAAAATTCCACATTTTCCTTATGAGCCATTCAAATTCAAGGAAAAGAATAAAAGATATGAGACAATCGGGCGGACATATAAATATGATATCTGAGTCGTGTTCCAACGGTGGTCGATCTGTTTCAGCACATCTGCTCACGCCCTACGACAAGCCGAGCATTTGTTGTTTGACACAACCAACACAAATTCCTATACCCGATACTTAACTAAGTTACCCCACACATCGACGCTACTTGAAATAGATACCTGTGTAGGTGGATAGTTGTCCATTCCGCATTACGGCTGCCCGAAACCCCCTCATTTTCCTTAACCGTCGTTGTGGTTTTCAGCATTTATACCAATATCAGCATAGCATAACTGCTGCAAAATATCTGCCTGCCACGCTCGTATGCTCACATACCACCGCTAACTATCGGAATATGGCGTCGACAACGAAAGCGAAAAATGAGTACATGGTCATTGTGCCAGATAATGAGGGCGCTCTCCAGAAGAGAATAGAAGTTCGAAGGTGAGTTTGGGACATATTAGGTCTCTTTACGTCTTCTCTATTCTCATCATGCCCTTGATTTTAACAATAGAAAGATTTGAGTCTGTCATATCGGATATCAGCTACTGGGAATATAATATGGACACACCATTCCCATATGCTATCCCAATTCCCCCTCCCCTTGATACTTTTGGCGACTTCCTGAAAACTGTCTAGCACTCTCGATCAACCATCTTGGGTACCCAGCTAATTAACATCCATACAGCGCTCATCTCGCAAACCTCCAACCGATATTAGACTCCGGATTCCTTAAACTTGGAGGTACCTAAAATTTCATTCCCCAATCGCCAGTATAGCATGAAATTGTGTTTCAATTTTGCACTCGATATCACTCACCCCCAGAGCCCGAAGCGAAGCATTGGTAAGCTACATAAAATCTAACTATTTGACGAACAGGAGCTATGCTTGAATCGCACCCCGAGGAGGGCCAGACGCCTACAATGAAGGGCAGTATGTTAATTGTGGTTGCTGAGTCTCCCGAAGCCATACGTGAGCAGTTATCAAAGGATATCTATGCCACGTCGGGAGTGTGGGATATCGACAATGTAAGTTGACCTGTTATTATTATTATTATTATTATAATAATATTGTTGCTGTTCTAAACCCCCCCCCCCCCTTCACCTTCTCTCTATTCTACGACAACACACGACTAACTCGAAAATGTTAGATGCAAATAACACCGGTATGTTGATGTTCTATAACATAAATCTTTCCTGAGGATATCCCCGTCCTAATCTATTCATAATAGTTCAAATCTGCTATTCGACTTCCGCTGTAATTTTAGCGGCTTTCAAAGCGGGCTATCGCAGCTACAAGAAGCTTTTTGGACAAAATCGAAACAACAGTAGTAAAATATGAGGAGTGCCCAAGCATACTTAGGTTCCGCGTTCCATGCTATTTCCGTTCATGAGGTTTCTGCGTGCAGTACCGCATTGGCGGCTGTTCTCATCTGACGACCGTTGAGCCTTCCAATCCCATAGGATTTGATTTGTCGTAAGCTTGTTTGTTTTATTTATTGCTCGAGAACACCCATTGTGTGCCCAACAGTTCCGTTGCAATAAGAGAGGGAAAAGAAAGAAAAAAATGTCAAAATGTCACTGAAATTGTTAGAAATTGTTAGAGAGACTGTATATATCGAAAACGCTGTTTTGGCACTTCATTTGAATCAATACATTCAGAGAAAAATCACCCAATCACAGTTAGTGCAACCAGAATGGGCATTTCATGACTTAATGAGATACCATTGTGTCTCAAACTCTTGTTGGCTTCTGAATGGCTATTTAATCTTTGTCGCCAGCGCCAGCCAGATATGTAAGAAGAGACATGCCAAACCAAGCCATCACAGTTAATCATAGAACAGAGCTCACTAGGGAAGAGAGGAACAGTAAGCAAGAACGTAGAAAGTGTATTGAGACAGACATGAAGATTCCAGTCTATATATATTCAAGGGCTTTAGTAGGATTCACCCATCCCTATAAGCAAGATTTGAAGGGACGCTTTTCATGTATGGCTATGGCGCATGGTAATGGTATTGGCTAAATTAGATACATATTTCTGTCTCTATCGTAGTAATTCGGAAAAAAATTCTGACTCTACAGCTTCGGGCTTGGCGTTTCTTTCTTCAACATTGCTTCCGCGACTTTACGGCGCTGTATTTTGCCTGTGGATTTGTGTGGATCAGTTTATGTATGTCAAGCGGTCCAAGAAAGGTAGCGCAGTCCATACCTGTTGCGGTTTTGGGAATTTCGGGGAGGATCCATATCTGTACCCGAAGTGAAGCATATGCGTTAGCTCGATGTATATAAATATGATATGAATGGCTTATGTAAAGTCATTATTCGAAAGAGGAGAACATATGAGATTCACTTTTTTGGGAATCTTGAATTTAGCAACTTTAGGCGCAATCCAAGATTTCAGCGTGTCTTCTGAAAGACTTCCACCTTTCTTCAAGACAACTGCCACCCCAATGTCCTCGCCATAGTGGGTATCCGGAATAGCAAAGGACACTGCCTCCGCAATATTAGGGTTGTGAGCAATCGTGTTGTCGAGCTCGATAGGGCTGATTTTCTCGCCTCCCTTATTGATAAGCTCCTTGATACGCCCTGTGATAAAAACGTAACCGTCCTTGTCCATTTTTCCCTGGTCACCGGTGCGGAAAAATCCAGACTTTGTGAACGAGGCTTCATTTGCAGCAGGGTTGTTGATGTATCCCTTTGTGACATTCTCCCCGCGAATGCAAATCTCACCCTCGGAACCCTGAGGAACTTCATTCCCATCCTGGTCAAGAATTCTAACTTCCACTCCTTGGCCAATACCAACGGTGCCTGGCATCCTCTTTCCTGGAGGAAGAGGATTGCTCGTCATCTGGTGAGCGGCTTCTGTCATTGCGTACGCTTCTAACACCGGAGCATGGAAGGCCTTTTCCAATTCATGGAAGGTCTTTGGGGACAATGGGGAGGAGCAGGAGCGAATGAATCGAATTTTCGGTATGGGCTTTGGGAGTGTCGTTTTAAGGAGGATCTGGTGAATGGTAGGAACTGCAGTGTACCAGTTTGCGTTGTACGTAATGAATTCAGACCAAAATGTTGAGGCTGAGAATTTTTCGGGAACGATGACAGAGCCTCCAGACAAAAGAGGCGCGAGGAACGCCGCAAGCAGGCCATGAACATGGAAAAGAGGCATCACAAGCAACGTTCGGTCTTTCTCCGTCAACTCGTAGGTCGCTTGGATGTTTTCTGGGGTATTGGTTAGTCAGAGCATGAAAAGTAAGAGTCTATAGCAATTGAACATACTCATGGTCCTCGTAAGATTCCGGTGTGTAAGGGGTACCTAAGATTGTAAGTATAATATTTACCGAGAGATATCTGCAACCAACTTACAGCTTTCGGTCTGCCAGTAGTTCCTGATTGAACATTAGCATACTTGTACTAGGACTATATATCAACAGGGAAGCTCGGGGGAAAAATAGGATCTAGACGGCTTAATAACCAATTCAAGCTATGTAAATTGTTACTCCTCCAAGCTTTTGAGAGAGATCTTACCTGAGGTATGGAGCACCAATGCGACGTCATCAGGCTGAGCCACTTCCTTCTTTAAGTCACCCTTCCCTACCAATTTTCCATGCTCTTTGACGTCCAAAACCACGTCACTCCCGTTCCAGTAGCATTCAGCAATAGCTGCTGAATATTTCCTTGCAGCACGTACAGCTGGCCCATCACTCGCAAAAGAGCCCCTTGGGACGAGCGTCAATGCCGAACTCAAGTCATCAATATAGAATTCGAACTCTTCTTGCTTGTATGCAGGGTTCAGCGGAGCCGCAATTGCTCTCTGCCATGACGCAGCCAGAAAAGAAACGATGAATCCGTAAGAATTGGGCAGCGCAATTGAAACAGCAGCGCCGGGTGAGATTCCCAGTTTGGCCAGTTTTGTTTGGAATGAGTTCACATCAGAACGTAAACGCTGATACGAAATCGTTAACGGCTCCGGTTTGCCAGGCACGATGATCGCGGTGGTAGCGGAGCCGGGGAATGAGTTTTCCAGAGTAGACATGATTGGACGATGGCTATACCAATGTCAACGAACAATTTAGAAATGAAAATTAGAAAATGCAAGTTCCGAGTACAATCTAAGCCAGAATAAATCTAGTATGCTCTTGGTGAGTCGAACCGTTGATATCAAACTCAAGCTGATGACGCATTTTGATACTCGTCGAATGTCTGGCGATTACCGAGCACGCTGGATGGAAGCTTCCGCGAGTCATGCAAATATGGCAAACATGGCAAACATGCTACTTTTGGCTTCTTCTGCGACAGAGCATCAATGGCGACAACAACAGCAGACACCCGCAGTTCCAGTATCCCTGGATATATATTTCGCGTATAAGCTGCGTGTCTGGCGACGTTGGTGACCTATTGTGGTGCTCGGTTTTTAGCAACCACGGAGCCTGACTTTCAATAACTTCATTCCGAAGATGGTGTCTCAACCTCCCCCCAAAGGGAGTATGATGTCGTTATACGCCAACTTGCTTGATCCGTCTTCGGATAATGGGTCAGCCCCCGGAACCATCTCGCGAGCTCCCGTTGTATTCAAGCAAGCCGGCCAAAATGATGCGCAACAAGACGATGCAGCTTCAAAGAAGCAGCAGATAAGTGCTGGTAGCCAATTTACCCTTCCCCGACCATACATCTTTGCTGTACCCGATTTGGTTTACTCACTCGTTTGTCCTGTTTGACTCGCTCAATGAATTTCAGCTTCTCTACGGTTTCAACCTACGAAAAGGCCTCAGCTGGCTTCCCAGAAGGCTAAAGCTAAGCCCGGTATACCCAAGGCCCCCGTTGTGGGCTCGGCGACGGGAACATCTGCCGTGGCTGGAATCGCCGCGAAACCCGCGGCAAAAACGTCACTTGCGGACTGGGCTACAACAGCCGAGGATGATGACGTGAACGGATTTTATGGTGGTGAAAAAAGACAGCGGGGTGGTCGTAAAAAGCGCAAGAAGAACCGTGAGGAGGAAACAAACCTGCAGAATTGGGATGATATATACGACCCGTCGCGACCTAATAGCTACGAAGCATATAGGCATAGCGAGGAAAAGATACGAGAAGTTCGAGAATGGAAAGACCGTTTGTATGCGCATCGGATGGCTAGAGGGACAAGTAGTGGGCTGGATAGTGACGAGGAATACTCGAGATCACCACGAAATCGTACGGCTCACTCTTTTTTTTTTTTATCCTTCTGAAAGTAATTCTCACGTTGCTGATAAATATCCGTCCATAGGGAAATTTGCACCTCCAGGCCTCAACTTTGCGCCTCCTCCAAATCTTAATGAACCTCGACCAGAACAACAGCACTCGGAGGATTTGTCAGAAGCCACGCCAGTGCCTCCGATGGCAACGTTTCCTGATGATGCGACTGGGGAAGATGCGTATGCCCGACGACTCCGGATGAGCCAGAATGCGTACGCCGCGATAGGTACTAGTTCTACAAATATACCTATACCTCCTTCTCCTCCTCCACCATCATCGGAGTCGTTGCCTCCACATCCGCCTCCGCCCAATCAGATTTTCGCATCTGCCACCATATCGCGAGCGCCAGTCCGATATACATTACCTCCAGCACCCGAAGAGATTCCCGCGACGGAAGCAGAACTGGAGGCAACGTTCGCGAAGGAGGAAGATAACAAACAAGAAACTGACGGAGATGCGCCCCGATCTCTTCGGCCCGGTCAGAAAGGCTTTGCAGAAAGGCTACTCACGAAGTACGGATGGACGAAAGGCACCGGTTTGGGTGCAAGTAGGGAAGGCATAGTGAAACCCTTGCAGGTCAAGATAGAAAAGCAAAAGAAGAAACCGGATTCCGAGGGTGGAGGATTTGCTACTCCGGCCGGTAGAGCTAAGATAATCGGCGGAAACCAGAAAAAGTCAGAAGATGGCAAGTTCGGACGGATGAGTGAAGTAGTTGTGCTGCACGGCATGGTAGACGGAATGGATTTGGACGTAGAGCTAGAGGGTGGTGAAGGCGGAGGTTTGATGCAAGAGATCGGAGACGAGTGCGCTGAGAAGGTATGCGGGAATATGTTTCCAAATATATGCCAGTCGAGTGACTATCTCTTTTCAGCTCCTAACATATACTGCAGTATGGACGAGTAGAGCGGGTCTTCATCGATCGAAACAGCACAGGCAAAATACCTGTATTTGTCAAATTTACGAGCCAGCTGTCTGCATTACGAGTAAGTTACAGTTAATTCGGAGCGTCTTTTCTAAACGAACCCAGATTTAAAGATCCCAGTCACTAACGAACACCATAGGCAGTTAATGCACTTGAAGGGCGGATTTTCAATGGAAACACGATCACTGCACGATTCTTCGATGTCGATAAGTTTGAACAGGGCGTGTATGAATAAATAACACACACATGTATCTAGAGTTACTTTTTGGTCTCTCCTATGAATTTCATTTGACAGCTTTTGGTCCTCTCGCTATACAACCCCGGACATGGACCCATCCTGCAGCTCCGAGCCAATTCGCTCACCCACCCCGAGAAGGCCTCTTTACCCTTGCTGCCAAAGTTCGAACTCTCAGAGATAAAAAAGGAAACCCCATCTCAATCTCCCCTCATAGCCTACACACTTCATGCTCTCGCCACCATTCCCCCCACCGCCCCTAGTAATTACCTCCGCCGCTCAACCGCTAGCTGCTTCGTCTTCTCCTTATCATATCCCTTTTCCTCAGCCTCAACTTCATCTTCCTTGAGATTGCGACACAACGCGCACGCTCCATACATCGGAATGTGCAGCACCTCGATCTGCGTCGCGGCATCGCAGGGTAAACCATTACTTTGGATTTGGCTGGGGCAGCAGATTCGGCAGCTGTGTGGCCGCAGAGGGCGTGATACCAATGCACTCTGAGGACAACACGGTAGATGGAGTGAGTCCGGATGTTTTGGTTTCAACGGGTGGTTTTGTTCGGCTTTAGGAAAGGGTTTGACGAGCGAAGGTTTGGTGTAGGCAGATTCCTTGGTTTATATTCTTGATGGATGTGGGAGATAATGAATGACAATAACCAATTTGATCGCTGTGCGGTTATTCGTCCCCCTTATACTTTGTGTGAGGAAGTGACTGGCCATGCACCTGGCAATATGTCTCTGAGAGGAAATCACTGCCCCCGCTTCCTCCTCCATGTGAAATATATAGCATATGCCACACATTCTTTGTACCAACCACATTACATCCTACATATGTATTTCATTCAGTACGTCCCTGATTCAGAAATATACTGACATCGAACCCCTGGGTAGAGAGTCCCCAGGTATAGAAACCCCCAAGTATAGAGACTGTCCACGATATGGGTCACTATTTCATACAACCTCCAATGAGGAGATCTTGATTGCTAATATTGATGTGTGCTCATTGTAACACACGTATAAAATACACATTTGACCCATTTGCCACTATATGCTGCCGTACCGAGCTTTGTCTGCCGACTGGTTGGAGCTTGGTGATTTGGAGACGGATTATGATTATTATTATGATTAAAAATTATTGACCTGTAGCTCGCTGTTCCCTAGTCACAGTAGCGCTGGCCGTTGATCGGCGGCCTTTGATGCGGGAGACATCAATGCGAGTAATTAGGAAAAGTGAGTCTGTGAGGGGTTGTGCGCAGGGTTTGAGTGAGCAGTGGGCAGTGAGAGGTTGATTTCATGATTTATATACCTTTGAAGAGGGTGCGCGTCAAGCAGGTATACTACGGAGTATCATACATGCCTTTAGATACATGTACATGTACTCCGTACAATGTAACTTACATAACTACATACTAAGTATCCTGCAGACGGTCTCGCCTTATTTAACTAGTTAGTGGAGTTACGTAGCTCAAACTTAGTTAAACAGTTAACTGCAGCACAGAATGTTGATGTACTACTGTACATGTACATGTACATGTATATACATACACTATGGTCCAAGCAGAAGGCACAAGTCGCCTGGTTCATTTTCTTCTCTATCAGAAACTAATCTCGCGAACCTAATGTCCGTCCCACTTATATACAACAATTGAATGAAATCATAGCAACCATTACTCCGCTTCGGAAGTTCCCACCCACCTACCCTACAAACAATATGACTCGCATCCCAGTGCTCATCGTCGGCGGTGGACCTTCAGGCCTCGTTCTGGCGTCATGGCTGCGGAGACAGAACGTGGCGCTGCGGGTAATCGACAAGGGAGAGTTCAGGGCCTCTGATTCCCGCGCCATAGTCATGCATGCTCGCACACTCGAGCTCTACCAGAAACTAGGCCTGGCGGACGAGGTGATTGCGGACGGCAAGCAGATGGTAGCTGCAAACCTCTGGGTCCAGGGGAGACATCGAGTGCGATTGCCGATTGGCGAGATCGGGACACGGATCACGCCGTACCCGTTCCTCCACGTCTACCCGCAGGACCGGCATGAGAAGCTGCTGGAGGAGAAATTGGCGGAGGATGGCGTCATCGTCGAGCGGAATACGGAGCTGTTGGATTTCACAGACCATGGCGACTATGTCTCCTACACGCTTCTGCGCAACGATACTCAGGCACGGGAAGAGAACTGCGAGGCACAGTATATCATCGGCTGCGACGGGGCGTCGTCCACCGTGCGTCGTGGGCTCGAGAACATACAATTCCCCGGCGAGACATATCAACCGTTATTCTACGTCGCAGACGTCGAGGCCAGCGGGCCTACCATCAACGGAGAGGTCCATGTCAGTCTCCATTCCTCCGACTTCCTCCTCATCTTTGCCTACGATGATAGCTCGCGCGTGCGAGTAATAGGTATCGTCAGCGACAGACCCAACAACGCCCCGCCAGAGACACTCACGTTCGAAGATGTAGTGGGCACCGCCATAGCTAGCTTGAAAATAAAGGTGGAGAAAGTCAACTGGTTCTCAACATATCGCGTCCACCATCGGGTGGCGAGCCACTTCCGGAGTGGCCGGGTATTTCTCGTCGGCGACGCAGGCCACATCCATAGTCCGGCCGGCGGGCAGGGAATGAACACCGGAATCGGCGATGCGGTTAATTTGGCCTGGAAACTCGCGGCGGTGTTGCAGGGCTATGCAGATTCATCGCTGCTGGACAGTTATGAGGCGGAGAGGATTTCATTTGCGCGGACATTGACACAGCGGACGGACCAGGCTTTCTCCATCGCAACGTCCAGGGGGTTCCTCGCGGATATTGTCCGCACTTATATGGTACCCTTGATCCTTCCCATTTTAATACGGCTGCCAGGTGCTACGGATTATGCGTTCCGCGTCCTGTCGCAAACGCAGATAACCTACCGCGGAACGGCTGGTGTAGGTGGTGTGGCTGGCCAGGTGCACGGCGGAGACCGACTGCCATATACTACCGCGAACGGGGCAGATAACTACGCGACACTATCACCGATTGCGTGGCAGGTTCATGTTTACGGCACGCCCAAGGAGGAGATGAAGCAATGGTGCAAGGAGAAGGGAGTTGCACTGCATGCCTTCGACTGGACGGCGGAATATAAGAGCGTTGGGTTCGCTCAGGATGCTGCGTATCTTTTGCGTCCTGATGGCTACGTTGCCTTCGCGAATCTGTCTGGCATGCCGGCGGAGTTTGAGGGCTATCTTTCAGCACATGGAATTCGCAATTTGTCAACATGATTGATTGATAACCATGTCTCCGATGATCGAGCGTCCTAATTGCCGCTAAGCACAGAGTAGTTGCTTACTGTTGGGACTAAAGGATTATTTTATTTGGTTTATTTATTTGGCTGTCGTAACAATTTCTGTTACGTTTATAGTCAACTTTCTTACTCGAGGCCCGCCATCCACTGTCTTCTGTAGGGCCCGCGAGTACATTATCGCGTTGATGTAGCTGTTGCGGGGAAGTCAATGACGTAAATGGATTTGGCTTGCTAAGGCAATAATCAACCAAACTTTGCGGAGTTTTCCTGCCCCCTAGAGGCATCGATATAGGGCATGAGGCCGCTATTGATAGCTATTAAGATTTGCACGATGTCACAGGCCCGAAGTGTCGTTTTGAAACTGAATATTTTTTTTAGTGCTAATCAAACCCTTTGGGAGTAACCTCTGTATATACTCCGTATGTACAGCACATATACGAGCGCATGGATACGATCTGATTTCCAATCAACAACCAGAGATTACAATCGCAGAGTTTTAGTATTCTTCTCCCTTCCCATCGTCGTGCTGGATATTTACACGACCCCGTCGGCCTCCCTTCAGGGTCCTCAGTCTAGTCAATTATCCCTTCTTCCTGTGTCAAAATATGAGTACAGTACATATCTATATCCCTACATACGTCGGCCTCAACCCGGCAGCCTGGAAGAATCCACAGTAGGCGGCTGCGGCTGCACTTCCCCAGCACCATCTGTCGAGCAGGTCGGGCCCCCACCGTCACTAAGAACTTCGCCAGGTGAGAGCAGAGTCATGCATGGGCTTCATTGAAACCAGTGCTTTAACGAGATGCAGCCGATCCAAGGGCGCGTTTGTGGAATATGTAATCACCGGCAAGATAATCCAGCGAATACAATAACAACACCCTCCACCTCGTCTACGACACCATCGCATCCCGCAAATCCGCCGTATGCAACGCCGCCATCTCCTCACACCTAGCGACAAAGACACGACTACACAATTCCCACAGCTGGCGCGCGATGATATCGAGAGAGCAGCGCCTTGGTGGTGTACACGGCCATCGACGAAGAATTCAGTGTAGGTGCACATTTCTTTCCTGCTCAGCGGGAGAATTTTGAGCTTGCTCCGCGCTTTGGAGACATTGCGGAGAAGCTGATTGGTGAGGGGAGGGTGTGGGCGCATCGGGTGCTGAGGGATGAGGGGGGGTGGGTGGGTTGGAGGCTATCGCTAATGGATGGATGGGCGCTTATGAAGGGGAATAAGGTTAGTGGACGGAAGTTGGTGTATAGAATATAAATTTTGGGGTTGATAGAGGCAGATCTGCCGTGGCTGAGTGGCTCTATATGTACGGAGTATGTATCATACCTATTGTGTAGTTAAGTAGGTGATCTTGTGTATATCTATGTCTATTTGGAATTCCCAATGGGAGATTAAGAAAAGGTAAAAAGAATTGGCTGGCTAGGGAAGTCATAAAGCTTCCATTGATAGGCTATTATCTGCGATGCTAACGGGGACTCATCGGTGCATATATGCATAAAGTTCCTATGTGGAACGAAACGGGTCAGAAACAGAGAACGCAGGGTTTGGCAATAGAAGTTAGCAGATCTGGGAAGAAGAGAAGCATGAGGAACGCACCCTCCACCCTACCAGCGATCCGGGCCCACTCACACTCTATACATGCTCATAAACCCGCAAAACATGCGAATCAGCCTCCTCACCCAGCCCCTGCTTTCTCGCCACATAGAGGATATTAAGCGCCGCATTCCCCAAATGAAGCGGGCAATTCACATCCCGTGCCCCCTGTACAACGGCAGCAAGCTCCGCTATGGCTTCATTGATCGTCTTCCTCTTACCCCCATCACCATCTACCCCACCCGTTAAGCCAGACATCATCTCCGCGCCGCGAAGTTTGAAAATTTTGCTCGCGCCCGCCGCAGCGTTGACGACATCGTAGACCAATGGCAGATCGACCTTGAGAAGCCGGGCGAACGATATGGCTTCGGCGGCAGCGACGAGGTGGATGTTGGTAAGCAAATAGACAATGAGCTTGAGCGCCGCTGCGTTTCTTTCCGGGTTCAAGGAGGCTTTTGGGTCAGCTTTAGTGATGGGGTCTCGGTAGTAGAGGCGCACAAGGCTGGCGTCGTCGTCACCCCCGAAGCCGAGAGGGAGAGCGGTGAGGAAGGTTTGCTCCGCGATGCCGCAGAGGGGGGTGGGGAAGCTGTGAAGGCGCGCGGCGGCGGTGACGATGGCCTGGTTATTCGTGAAATTAGTTAGGGGGAAGGGTTTTTTGTTAATTTGTGATAACTGGTAGGAGGAAAATTAAATCTCATACCACGTCTTTGAGGATAATAGTGACAGCACTAGACCCCGGATAATAATCTTCTATCAGCATGCGCTCGCAGCGGTTCTCATGCATGAAGCTCCATGCATCAGAAGACATAAGTGCCTCTGCCGCTTCCTTCGCATTCAATCCTAGGTGTGCAGCAAGGCCCATGACTTCGCTTGCCGCGAGGATGTGGATGGCGGCAAGCACTTGGTGGATCATCTTCATGTTACTGCCTGCGCCGATCCCGCCAGGCACAAGATACAGCTTATGCGTATCCGACATCTCCTCAAGGAGGAATTTGCCCCTTTCCAGCGCTGCGTCTGACCCGCCTGCCATTATGGTGAGGGTACCCTCTCCGGCCTTCCTAGCTCCACCTGACACCGGCGCATCGATAAAGTGTACGTCTTCGCGGCCAATGGACACTAGTTGGTCCCGGAATGACTGCGCGGACATGGCTGGGACGGTAGAGCATAGAATGAGAGTCGCGCCATTGGGGAGAGCTGCGATATTATATTAGCTACGCCGAATAGATGAAACATATACAGCACGTATAAACTTCTGAAAAATAATATAACATAGTACCTACCCTTCGCGATGCCATTTTCATGGTCAAAAATCACAGCTTGCGCCTGGGCAGTGGTAGCGACCATGCAAACACAGAACAAATTCCCGCTCGCCGCATCACCAGGAGATGAAGCAGTATGGCGGCCGGCTGCCTTAAAGCGGGCCAACGTTGGCTCCGAAATGTCATATCCCTTGACGGTGTAACCTTGCTTGACGAGGTTCGTAGCCATGCCGAAGCCCATGAGGCCGAGGCCGACGAAGCCAATTGATTGTTTCTCAATCGTCATGTTGTGTGGCGATGTAAACAATTAATAGGCGAATCCAAATGGATCTGGTTTTCTAGCTTACAGCTTTTCAGCAGCGAAATGAATCAGATCAAACTTGGGGTTATATGGCTCCTATCCGCAATCCTGTGAGGTGCGCACAAAATGTGAACGTAGGAACAAGAGCAAAACGTACGGGTATTTGTAGGGGAATGGACAACGAACGCTCAGTTCAATAGCCCGAAGCCTGAATCTGCCATCAGAGTTTTCAGGGGCACCTTTGGGCAGCAATCGTCTGTGGCTTCAAAGAAAGCGATGAGACAGAACGCCATGACCAAGGGAGGGGGTACCCAGGTTTCCTCCAAGCGTTTATATACCTTGGTCGTTTATCCATTGACGTCACGCCATCTGCGCAATTTGGCTATGTAGAGGATTCTTTGTATTTTTATTTTTATTTTTTTTCTTTCTTTCTTTCTTTTTTTAAAGAAAACAAGAAAAACCCGTTGTTCACACCATTGACATCATCGCCATGGGTGCGGGAAAATAGCGGGGGCTGAGGGATGCAAAACATCTCGAGTTGCAAGAATGTCGAATTAGCTGCCACCGATTGGCCCATTACGACAGCCCTTGTCCACCGCAGTCCGTCCTCCTTTATCCACAGCTGGGGGATTTGGACTCGCATTAAGCCCGTAGCCCCCGCCAATCCCTAGCGGAGAAAGCCCCGGTATGTGGTATAGGATAGGAAGTTAGTTTATAACCCCTGAATTCTCTCCGAGCATCGCAAGGCAATGCGCGCTAGTTATCTGTTTATATTTGTCCCAATTAACTAATTGAATCGCGTTGTAACATAACTAAAATAGGTTCATTTTTCTGCTTGATTCACAGCAAATCTGATGGGAGAAAGAGAGCAACAATGTTTCAAGGGTATTGGATCATGAGCTATTTTCCAATCGGTTGTAACGGAATCCATAGTTACTCTCTTAGGAAGACTGCCGGTCAGGGGTTGTGTTCAAACAACTCTTTCAACTCTTTTTCCTATTCTCTTTCTCTCTGTCTTTGAAGAAAATATTATTATACCGGAAGGAAGGAGTTGAGGACTGAGACCCTTGATGCCTAGATTTAGGCAGTGGCAGAAAGCTCCAGGAATCGAAGAACTTGCCCCAAACACTATTCGGCAAGTCGTATGTGCCTGTGGTTTGGCTGGGCCTCCCGCAGAGCTCGGATATGGTCCTACTGCAACCAAAGCATTGACCACGCTCACATCTATCTCACCCTCAACCCTCTAGAGCCCGCGTCGTATCTCGTGTGCGCATTTACATCCGTCGAATATGGCAACCAGTTCACTGGATTCCTGCTTGTTGACCTTGGTGCCCTTATGCTGCTTCACGAATGTCTGTCGAACGAAGTCATCCGTTGTGTCAAATATCAGCCCACAGTGGCGACCTTTCTTATCCTCTAGTCTAAGCACGGCCTGCTGTCCTCATGTGTGAACGTGGCCTCGTTTACTAAGATAATGCACGGCATTTCGCTGTGGGCAACTGGAAGCAAGTAGTGTCAAATACGCTGCTCTAGAATTGTAGCACATTCGACCCAAGATCTAGACTGGCAATGTTTACTTGTTCATGTTCGAACTCTGAGCTGGAAATGTCGGGATGATGGTCCGGTGGGTATTTACCACGGAATCTGCCAATTTGTTTCTTCCATGGATTCTTCGCAATATACCATGATGGGGGTATAGTAGGGCAAAACCTGGCAAATGGGTGGCGCCGCTAGCAGTCGGGTATTCTACGGCTCCCAGACAACCTGCCTAGGACCAACTAGGGAATGACGCTCCTTTATCAGCCTCAACTGGGACTGTTTTGCTCGAGATTCTTCAAGTTACTGGATAAACAGGAGCCCACAGCAAGGCCAGGTCAACAACTGAAGCTGGGAAACCGCTCACAAAACTGCTCCTCAAGTGGTCAGCAAGAACAGCGAGAATTCCAGAGAAAGCGTTCAAGATGTCGGATGGAATTGTTAATTCTCGCGACGTGTTCTGCTCTACCAGTTTGTTGTATCCTTGAAATATTCGGTGTACACCTTCGTTTCTGGGGAGTAGACCAGTTTTCTCGAGATCGGCTAGGGGTTTTCACTTCCGATCGGTTAGGGAACCTCGCACGGCCTGCCGAAAATTTCAGCAGACCCTTCTAGCGTAGTTCCGCACATGGTCTCCCTAGTGATTGGAAGTAGATGTAATTTGAGCTGAAATAGATGCGTCTCCGAGATAACAAGTGTTCTTGTAACGTCCAGCCTCGAGTGTTCCATCTAGTGGTTTCCAAGACGAGAGGGAATGGAGAAGGAGTTGTTGTTAGTGTCATCTCATTAACCGCTGTAGATCTTAAAGAGACTTGGTGTTGCAGCATGAGAGACTTATCCTCTTAGACCACGATTGATTCTGTCGCCTGTGGAGGCCGGGTATCGGGAAGGATTTCCTGGTAATCTAGCTGTGGCATCATTCCCGTGCATCGCAGCGATGGTGACAAACGATTTGCCGTATACAATATCCATATGACGGATATCATGATGTTTCGTATTTAGGTCGTCCTGTACAATACAGATAACATCAATCCACAGATATTTTTCGCCCAGAGAGCGGACAATTGACATTGCATCCTTGATTGTCTGTGGAAGCATGTACTTCTTCTCGTTGATGAGTGAGTTTTCCTTAAGGCAGTCCTGTAGGTTGGCTTTCATAGTCAAGAGCATTTTCGTCTTCCCCCAAACATAGCTTAAGGTAAAATATTTCTCTGCGGAGGTTGTGTAGATGAGACAGAAACGAGATCCGTCGATCAGAAGCAAAGGAATGTCGTTGTTGTACCCCTATTTCCCCATGAGCTATTACAGGCCCTGCTGTGATAGATATTTCAGTCATTGAGTCATGTCCACAACTTACTCGGATCCACTAATTGCCCCTGAGATGAATATGGGAATTTCTGCCACTCCTGCCACACAGTATCTGCTTGATTTTGAGGAGTTATAATCCTAATGGCACCAACCGGCCTCATGCCGTATTCTACACCCAGCATGGTTTCTCCGGTGGGGAGCTTTTGAATATTGAACAGCGTTCTCTGAATCTCTCGGTCCATTCAGCCAAATGAGGATGGAGTCTTCCAGGCTTGATTTCAATAAGAGACAAAATCGGCCGGCATATTGCGCCATCACTGGTCTCTGGGAGATTTTGGTTTACAATTTCTTGTGTCTGGTTTTTGTTCGTGGTCAACTGGTCCGCAAATTGCATGTTGTCAAGGAGATTGTTGAGATATTCTTCCTTCTCAAGCTGAAGTTTTATGTGGCTTGACATTAGCTCGTCAGGGTGATATATTGAACAAAAATATTGATAAACCTTCTGCTGAGCCTGCCTAGTCGATGGAACGTCAAAGGGTGAAAGGAAGCATCATTGACTTTAGAGATCCAAGATGAAAGCTCTTCCAGTGGTGAAATGTCAACTATTCTTCCTATTCCATTTTGTCACTGCAGGGTCTCGAATTCACGGCATGTCTCGATTGCATGTTTTATAACCTCCCTCAGGTCTTGTTGTTCATGCGAGATGATATACCGCCTGGCAAGCATATTTCCGATGGAAAGTCTGCAGGAATGGCGTTTAGAATGGCCGACTGGTACTTGACCCCGCAGCTGGATGGGCTCCTTGATAGTGTCCTGGACCTCGCTCATTGAATTGCTTGCAAGAACACAATTTTTCAAAACCATCAAATATGATGAGCCACCAAATTGGCCCTCGTTGGATGAGTGGGTGGCATTTTTTGAATTATTGAATTAAAAGAGTCAGCGGCCCGCCGCAGGTGAGATGGATCACCTGAAAGTCGGTATTTGCATTCATATAGTTCACTAATCCTTCTAATAATCTCAACCCGCTTCTCATGGCCCTTTGGAAGTGTTGCTAGGCGGTCTTGAAAGAGAAGTAAGGTTCATTGAGATCCTTGAGCTCATCGCTACGCCTGAACAGCTAGTACGCAAATTCAGCCTTGGTCACAAGGCAATGGGAATGTTGTGGCGTAGTTACCTGGTGCGTAACGCTCTAGTTGGCGATTGAGTGTAAACAGCTCTTCAATATCTTCCGTTCTGTGATCCCTTGACCTCATTACATAATCATGACCCTGACCTCGTGTAGGATAGTTGAAGGTTGTATTGATAGATCTATCTACAGGAACATAATATAGTGGTGGGTCACGTGATCTAGTGGGATCGCTAACCGCAACAGCTGTAAGGGCCAACACCCCCCCTCAAGATAACAAGAATCACATACAAAAACACCCAAATCACCAAGATAGTCTGTCAAAATCAAATACAAATATAAAATTAAACATTCCCAACTTTTATGCCTGTAAGACCTAGCAAAATCATGAATCATATAAATGTCACAGTGTCTAGAGATTTAGTGAGTTCATTCACTGTCATCTGAGTAGTGAGAATATATTCTAAATCAATGATCCCCTGATTCAACTGTCAACATAAAAAATGAAAATGCATGTCAATGTGCTTGCTTCAGATTATAATGACTGTCATCTTTATGAGATCTATGACACTCTTATTATTGATGAGAATCTATATCAGAGATGTGATAATGAAGCTGAGCTCAATCATAAGATTCTGAATTCATGTTGCCTCATGAACTATCTCACTAAGAGTCATATATTCAGTCTCATTGAAACTTAGAGATATACAAGATTACTTCACTGAATACCATGAAATCAGGCTGTCTGTAAGCTTAAAAATATAGCTGAATGTTAATTTTCTATTATTATTCAAGAGATCAGCTCAATCAGAATCTGAGTAGCTGAAGAGTAGATAGAAATCATCAGAGAAATCAGAAGTAATAGAAGGATTGATAGAAACAGAAAAAACAGAAGAAATGATAGAAACAGAAGAAACAGTAGAAACAGAAGAAACAGTAGAAACAGACCTCTTATACAGGCCATGTCTGTAGAAAATACTCAGATTCATGATCTCTTTCAAATAACATATAACATATAATAGAGTCTTTCAATATTAAGATGTTGAATCAATATTCTGTTAAGTGAGTAGTGAGACAGTGTAAGTGATATCAGAATGTGTTTTAACTGCAAGATATTGCAAGTAACTCACATCATATTAATATCACTGAATTGTGAAATCAGTCTCTTTCTCAGATATAGAGAAATCATTAATATGAAATTCATTCTTCATAGATATTCTAGTGACAGCTGTATTATTAAGATAGAAATCTTTAACAAGATACTTAATATATTGATAATGTATCAAATTAATTCTCTTATCTGAATAATTAATCTTCATACTCAAATACTTGATTGACTGATGTAAATTCTTAACTTTTAATTTCTCACTGAGCATACTTACTAGCTAATCAGTATTCTCAAAAGCTTCAGATATGATGTTGAGATCATCAACATAGATTGTTATATAGAGATGATATCTGAATATATGATATCAGAGTACCAGATCATGAGCACTGACTGTAAATTCAAGATCACTCAGCAGAGCTATTAAGTAATCATATCAGATCTTCATTACAGAGTTCAGGTTATATAAACTATTCTCAACTGTGTAGACAAGCATTTTCAGTGAATCTGTCTTAAATCTGATAAATTGTCTCATATAAATCTTCTTAGTGAGACACTCATGAAGATATATCATCACTATATTCACTTAACAGAGTGTTCAACTACATAGTGCTGCTATTACAAAAAGAATACAATTAGCAGTATCAGTGATGACAGAAGCATAGATCTCTTCTCTAGAACTCTTCTTAAGTTAGTTATTATAAATCACTTAATATGATTTTCTAAGAATATTATCAGAATTAGTATTCAGGTTCACAGGTCTATCTTTCTCAAGAAACACTTAACAGCTTAAAGCAATCAGTTCACTTCTCAGAATATCAGATCTAGAGATTAAACTTCATGTATTGCATCTCTTCAGATCAGTAATCTCACATTATATAAACTTCTTTCAATAATCTTCTATTCTCTCTGACTGTGATATGGCATTCTTGTAGAACTTCAGAAGGTTACCTGTAACAGAGCTTGAAGTGTAAGTAGTCAGTGATTTCGCGGGCTGCAATCATGTGGAATTTGAATCATCAATATCAGAAGCATCTTCATCATCAATCAGATAAATATCAGGTTTCAGTTCAATAATATGATTAATAAGTTTCACAGATGTAATAACCAGTTTTTCAGTGATCAGAAATCTCACATTACTACTAATAATAATCTTATCAGATTCAGAATGTCATAGATGATATATCAATGTGTCACTGAATTCAATGATACAATAGAAATCAGCATGTGAAAAGAGCTTATTCACAGACTGCTGAGATTTATACAAGTGAATAAAAATCTCTGCACTTAATCAGTGAAAATGTCTTACATTCAGCAGAGTATTCATAAGTGCACATTAAGAAATCTTATATGAACTTAGAATCACAGAAGTCTCTGCAGTAGAGAATCAAAATTTCAAGTTATAAAGAACTGTAGATATGAGAGTATTATTAATTATTATAATCACTGTCTCTAGAATATCTGCTCAGAACTTCTTAGAGAGATTATCTTTCAAAAGAGCAGCTCTAACCCATCTCATAATAGTATGAATCTCTCATTCAGAAACATCATTCTGGTGTGATGAATGTAATACTGTTAATTTTCATTTGATATCATATGAATTCATAACTGTGTGTATACATGTGAATTGAAAAACATCATTAATATCAGTCTGTAGAAAAGCAGGAACTGTATACCTGAGATTACTCATGAATCTGAGTCACAACTCAAAGTATTGAACAGTCTCATTCTTGAACTTTAAAAAATATACTCAACAGTAGCAAGTTGCATCACAGATGATAAGTATTCAGTATTTAGTTCTCTGACAGAACTCTAAGAAGTGATCAGAGAGGTCTTTCAATGTACATTCATCATTTGCAAGATTAATATGAATCTTCTCAATGAGTCAGATAGATCTAGACATCAGTATTTTCAAATAATCTCACATTATATCTGTCTTAACACATTTCTTGCAAAAGAACTTAGTCTTAGAATCTTTAATTATAACTTCAGTATAAGAATCCTTGATCATAGTAATTATAGCATTAGTGTGAATGTGACTGAGATCATAATATCAATTCAAAAGAGTCTTTGATATCTTTGATATCTGTGTTCTCATGTTCACAGAATCAACATTATTAACAGTAGTGACAGTAGTCACAGAAAGATCAACTTTTCAGTCAAAATCATACTCATATAGCATTGTAATATACTTGACTGCCTTGTTCAGATGATTGAGATTCTCATTGAACTCTCATTCATTGATCTTATATATGTTGTTCTGAGCAGTTCAAACTGTATGAAAAATAACACTGTTCAGAACTCTGCAAATGAAAAATGAGAGAATAGTGAAAGACAATGTAAATCAGAATCTCTGATCTTCAAGCTTTGTAAATAAGAGCAGGTTAACTGTAATATTAGAAATATAGTGAATATTCTGCAAGTTAACATCATCACTCTCAATCTTCAAGATAACAGTCTCAATCTTCTTGATAAACTCAGTTCTCTCAGTTGCAGAATCAACAGAGATATTATCATTAAAAGATTTGATGTTTGAAAAAGAATAAAGCTCACTCATCATATTCAGACTTGCACATGTGTTCAAATATCAAGATCTAGAGAATGATTTTCCAGTGACTGTAGAAGAGAAATAGAACTCAATCTTTGTAATTACTGCATTTACTGCTGATTGAGAACTTATCAAGTCATTCTTCTTCTCTTTCTTCTTATCATTCTTCTTGTCATTCTTCTTTTTCTTTTTATCAGAGTGTAAGATGAAACATCTGTCAACAGTATATTCATGTCTTCTGCAGTGAGTGCACTTTCATACAGATATGCTTTTATTCTCATCTTTGTCCTTATCTTTGTTCTTTTTCACAGTCACAGAATCAGTCTGAGACTGCTTTTTCTGCTTGATGATGATCTTCTTGAATGTACAATTAATCAGTTGCTTCATCAAATCATTGATATCAATGTTGACAATGAGTCTCTGATCAGTGAAGAAAAACTCATTCAAATATGTCTTGACA